AAGGGAAAAAGGAAAGAAAAAGAGAAAAAGAGAAAAAGGAGAGGAGTCTGTGTCACGCAAGAGCTGAGTGAAAACAGTTCTTCTGTTTTGCTGGCATCCACTCTGCTTAAACGCGACCTGCCGAAGTTCCCGTCTGCTTCGTGGCCTTCCCTGGCGAGCTGTTATCTGCGCCATGCGGATCCGGCCTGGAGGCTCCCGGCTCGTCCTTCCTTCCCTCCTCTCATCCTGAGATGGAGCGGTGCCTGTGGCGCAGGAGGAAGAGCCCCGAGCCTGCGCCCCGTCCGCGAGGACCTGCTCCGGCTCCTCCTTCCCTGCTCCTCCCGCAGCTTCCCAGCTCATCCCGTCCCGTCTCCGAGCGCCCGCGGGCTCTGCTGACTTGCAAACTCGGTTCATGCAACGCTGCATGGACGTGGTCAGATCCCTGCATGGCCACGCTGGGGCTGCAAGATCCCGTGAGCATCCAGGTCACTGTGTGCTGCCTTGTCCTGGGCTCGCCGGCACCTTCCAGGCTCCCAGCTTCGCCGCCAGCTCCAGGAGCGTGCGCAGGCGGAATGTCGAGCTGTGCCCGAGCACAACCCATATCCCAGCGGAGCCCACCCCAAAACTCAGCGTGGATGCTGGTTCCTGGGAAGAAGCCTGAGGGTTTCACAGGCAGCACTGCCTTTTTTCATTATTATTATTACTATTATTTTTATCTCCCTTTCCAAGCGGATTTCCCTGAATTGCAGAAACATGCAGGACTGGCCAAGCTTCGCTGTCCGCAGGGAAAAGCCGCCGACTTGCCAGTGCTGAGGCAGTTCCCAAAAGCCATTTTGCTCTTTAAAAACCAAGGAGACTAAACAGTGTCAAACTCGTGTCAAGCATCTGGCTTGGTGGAGACCCATAAAAGCAGCAGGCAGCAGCTTGAGAGCACGAGASGCTGCGGGCGGCCGAGCGCCCCGAGCGCCCCTGCGAGCCCCCGTTATTGGGCAGGAACACGCGAAAAGCTGAACTTCTCGTGCAAGGAAGACACGAGGCGCAAGGGGCCGGGGCGTCTGGGCCGGTCACGTGCGGCTCGTGTTGTATTAGTCACTCTGCAAAGCTCTGCTGCGTCTGGGTCCCCCGCCTCGTCCTTGCTCTGCTCCTTCCTCACCCAAACCAGCTGCACAAGTTGGCGGCTTGCGGCTGAAATAAATAAATAAATAAATAAATAAATAAATAAATAAATAAATAAATAAATAAATAAGTTGCTTTTTCTGCATATCAAGGTCCTTTAATGGTCAAGACGCAGGTCCCTGGGGTGCTCCCGGTTTGTGTTAGGGCGGGCGCTGCTCTGCAGAAACCGCTCCTGGGTCTTTGCTCCGAAACCGGGCGCTGCTTTGGTGGACGGGGAGTCGCTCCCTTGGGATGAGGTCCTTGCTGGGACGAGCACTGAGYGTGGCCGGGAGCCGAGCGGGACTGGGACCGCATGGGGAGTCACTGGGGCTGCAGCGAGCAGGTATTAGACMCTGGCCCCAATACTGACCACCAGTGACTGATCCCAGCTGGACCTTGCCCCACTGTTCCCCCGCTCAGAGCCCTGCAGATTTGCACCCACCCCTCTTCCCGAGCCCGTGCTTCATCCAGCTGCTCTGTGGGCATGTTCTGGGTGGCAGTGTCATAGAATCACAGAATTATTATGGCTGGAAAAGACCTTCAAGATCAAGTCCAACCATAAGCCCTCCAACACTATATATCTCTAAGTGCCTCATGCACATGTGTCTTGGACATTGCCAAGGATGGTGATTCCATCTTCCCCATCCATGTCCAAGACACATGTGGATGAGGTGACTCCACCACTTCCCAAGCAGCCTGTTCCAGTGCTGTTCCATGTCACTGCATGGAGCAGGGCGGCCTGGAGGCGGGCACTGCGCATGGCAGAGTACAACAGCCACCAGGACAGGGAAACGGGCCAGGGTTGCCTGCAGACACAGGGAAGGGCAGGACTGGAGGAAGGGGAGATGGGATACCCGGCTCCAGATGCGGCTGCACTATCTCCCAGACGGGAGATGTCCCAGGGAATGTTGCTGTCCCGCGCATGGCCCAGGAAGGGGAGCAGCACTCGCAGGTGACCTTGCCAAGGGAAGGCCACAAAGCAGACGAGAACTTGGGCAGGTYGCGTTAATCAGAGCAGATGCCAGCRAAACAGAAGAACCGYTTCCATTTAGCCCTTGCAATGGCTCCTGCACGACATGGTCTCCTCTCCTCTTTCTTTCTTCCTTGCAAAGAGCAAGCTGAGCTCTTTSATGGCCCAGGCCAGGCACGGGGACAAGCAGGGATCAGGAGACGTGTCCTCTGGAGCGGGATGCAGCCCCGCTCCGTGCCCATGCTGGGAGGCAGAAGCAGAGCTCTCACGGAGAAGGTTTCCTGGAGGACACTTCCACGTGGTTTCTCCTCCCCGGGCCTGTCCGCCCCGCGGCCGGGGCGCAGGAAGGAGCAGGGGTCGGGAGCGGAGCCGGGGGCGCCGCTGACTCAGGCTCGCGCGCATGGCGGCTAGTGGCCCGTGTCCATSGGAGACACTGGAGAGGATGAATAAAGCTGCTAATGGGAAAACCAGCTGTCTTCCTGGGCCTGGGATGCCGCTGGCTCCTCCTGCTCGGCTGAGGAGCCCTGGGATGCTCCTTTCCCTGGGATTTCCAGCCCTGCTTCCTCAGGCCCATCCCGCTCGCTCACCCCGGCTCCCGCGAGCTGTTTTCCACCCTCCGCCTCCATCCCCTGTTCCCAGGGCCAAGGAGATGGCACCGGGCAGGGCTTCCTGGCGCCCCTTAGCCCGGAGCGGGGCCGGTTTGCAGCAGGGCAGGGGCTGCAGGTCCCCGCAGCGCCAGATCTGAAGTGGAGTTATAAAAAGCCCTGCGCTGTTTACACGAGGCCATTCCGGAGCTGCCTGCCCGCCGCGTTTACCCGGCACGGCCGGGCTCCGGCGCCTCCGCCGCGGGCACGGCGCTGCCCGCACACGGCATGCGCACAGCCGAGGGCACGGGCACGGCTCTGTCACCTGGGGCTGCGGTTTGCCCCGGCGAGGCCGTTTCCCATCCCCTCGGCCCTGGGAGAGCCTCCTCCACGGCGGCGCTGGCCCCGCGGGGTGACTCACGTCTCCAGGAGGACTCGGCGGAGCGCAGCGCGAGGAAGAGGAGGGCAGCGGATCCCGGGCACGGCTCCGCTTTGCGAGCGCGTCACGGGGCTGCCAGGGCACTGGTATCCAGCCACGCTCCCACCGCATTCCCGGCTGCATTCCCGTCCCGTGGCGCTGCATCCTGCRGGCTCCTCTGCCATCAAACCCCACTCGCTGCCTCCTGCCTTCGCAGCCGACGCAGCCCCCGGGCTCYGGCTTGGGAGGCTGGTGCAGCCCTGCGCTTTGCCAAGGAAA